CGAGTGGGTTGGTTATTGATTATGCTTATTTATGCTTCCGCTTATGAATAAATGCTTTAGTCTTTGAAACCTTGTTTTTGGGTTGAGACATGATAAACGTTTGAAAACTCCTGTTTGAGTATGTTGGGTTTTTGGAATGTTTTTGATAAACCTAATATGAATTGGTTATCATGTGTTTGGGTTATTTCATACTTTTGTGTTTGAGCTGAATAACTTATGTTGAAAATCAGGTTAATGAAAACCATGTGAAAAACCAGGTAATGAATCCCCGAGCAACCAGATATGACTTGGTTGATGTTAAATGTTTGAATTACGCCCATGTTTTCGAAAATGAGTTCGAAAAATTATTTACAGATTTTTGGAAAGTCCAGAATTTCTTTAAAATCAAAGTGGGGTGTTATAGCTTCTCTTGTGAATGAGCCTTGCGGAAATTCGTCGGTTTTTTCCCTTGGAACTTGCTCTTGTACACCTTATCACGCATGCGGCCATAATTTCTGACAATTAGTGCAAAGGCCTCACTAAATTCAGCATCCTCTTCCAATGAACCTTCATCTCTACGTTGTCTGCACTTTGATATGGAGCAGCAGCTTTCAAGGCCAATCCCTTACTCTTCACCTTGTCATAATCATTGTTGATCTCGAAAGTTCGAAGCTCACCAAGAAGGTCATCAAGTCTAGAGGCTTGACTCGTTGAAAACTTTCAAGCGCGGTGATTTTCTCACGAAAACGAGTTAGAAGAGTCCTCATGATCTTTTGAACTTGTCAAGTTTCTGAGATATCTTCACCCAACATTGCACTTTGATTCACGAGGTCACAGAACCTTGAGTAGTACATGTCGATGGTCTCATCCTCCTTCATCCTTATGGCATCAAAGGCCAAAGTTATATGTTTAATCTTGGAGGATCTTACCGTTTTCGACCCTTCGAACTGACGTTCCAAAACACGCCATGCGTCCTTTGCCGTGGTGCATTGGAAGATCATCTTATTTCGAGTCTGATCAACCGCCGTTAAAATAGCATACAAGTCTTGAAAGTTAGCCTCTTCTTGCATTCTTTCCATGTCAGTTCATATGTCGCGTGGTTTGAGCACTTCATCGGACGTTCCATCGGCATCGCCTTTCTCTGGGACTCTCTTCATC